GTATTGCTGTAGTTGATCAAACTGACGCCATTCGTGTGTTTAAGCAGTCCTTGGGAAGCAGCTCCTCGGTGGGTTCGGATATGGACGGCTTTGTGGTGGAGGAGATGGTGTCAGGTCCATCCGCAGTGCTTATTCGCTATCGAAATGGATGCGTTGGTGCTCTGGGATCGAACTCTGAAGGACAACTGAGCAGCGTTCACAAGGAAATCCACGGTCGGGCCGTAAATCTTGCACCGTCTTTTGCCTCAACAACTTTATTCCCGATGTACACCCCCGCATCGGCATTGCCGCGGGATGTGTGGAAGCGATCTTGGCTAACCTGCGGAAGTGGGTTCAGCCTGCTTTTTGACGACGACGAGGTTTACCCCATTGATGAGCAGGTCAGGCCGATTGAGCTGCCGCCTGGGGAACGAAAGCGCATGAATGGGGCCATGCGGCAGAGTCTCTCGAAAGCCCTTCGTTAAAAATCAGAAGGCAGCAAAATAATAATAATAATAATCTGTAGAAAAAATGAATGGCAATGGGCCGGTTCAGGCGAGTGCCACGGCGCCTCCATATATTTTCCCCCTCCGCCCCTACCTTAACCTCCTCCCTTAACAAAAAGCCCAAGCGCCATTGGACGCCCCTCGCACACTCGCGAGGGGCAAAAAACTATGCCGTGACCCGGGATCGAACCAGGGACCTTCAGATCTTCAGTCTGACGCTCTCCCAACTGAGCTATCACGGCTCTGTTCCGCCGTTTTTGTATGAACGTTTCCATTAATGCTTATGACTCTCAAATTTGTAATCAGAACCGGGTCACCATACCCAAGTGGTTACGGGGACTGACTAGAAATCAGTTGTGATCTCGCGCGCAGGTTCGAATCCTGCTGGTGACGTTTTTTTTGTGCGGCGGGGGACCTTTTTTTTTTTGCCCCCCACACGATCCACCGTCACAATCTGACTGTAAAGGTTGCGACACCTGCGTCCCGTGTGTGATGCTTTCTCGCTTAATTTATCTTCTCTTAAAGTTTCTTTTTATCCAAAGAACAACAAATGTCCCTAGCTGCTCTTGAAGTAAACCTGGTCGTAATTCCAGGATGTCTCATATTTTTGCTTTACTTTGTCCCCGTTGCGGTTGTTTCGAGGACTGTTTCACAAATGCTGCGGATTCTTGAGAAGCTGAGCTTCGCCAAGTTCACTATTCTTTCGGCCCTTGCTATAGCAACCTCTGTTGCATTTTTGACTGATACAGTTAAATGGCACTCTACATATGGGTCGAAACCCAAGCCCTTGTTTCCAGACATCAGCATTTCTCTTCAGTTCGACAACAAGAGACTACGGCTTGAGCGCAACATTTACATTCATTTGCTCGCCTTCATTCTATGTCTTTCAATCAAAAAGTTGTCTACCTTCGACTTTAAAACACCTGTTCAATCTGGAAAAATGAAGCAAGAATGAAACTAAAATCTGCACTGCTATGTTGTTAGGTTGCATTCATACCATGAATTACTTCAACATTAGTATATGCATTTGACTATACAATATTTTATAGGTAAATCGTATCTTTTGGATTCTGTAACTTGTATTTGCTCATGTTCTTTTGAGTGTAAAAGGTCTTTAGATGTCTCAAATTTGAAATAAAATTAGTTTTATTGACACTATAATGCGAGTGTAATTCTTGAGTGGGTTAGTTAAAGAAAAATAATTATTGGGTAGGAGGAAATAGAAAACAAAGTTAATTTCGTATTCACGGCTAAAAAGACAAAATACCCTGGTGGATACGCTCAGATATTCACACAATATGCTGAATTCGTGTATTCAGCACTGGTACAATGATTTTTTAAAATATATTTATTACTTTCGACAATGAAGAGGGAAAACAATGAATTGAAAAAATATTCGCTACAAATGTAATTTTATATGAAAAGAAAGCTGCGCTTTATGGTTTTTTATAGTACCACACAAAGAAGAATGTTGAATATGAATATTATGATATACATTCTCTTCTCTTTATTTTTTACCCTCAAAAAAAAATCAGACACAGTGACCACTGCGCGGAATAAAGGTAAGTTACTGGTTCTACGCCGCGCATCTTACAAGATATTGTAGATACTTTGCGAAATGAAAATTGATAAATCAAAAGGAATATTAATTGACTTATATTAAAAATCGTATACTAGCATCTTTTTCAAGTATATACCAACTTAAATAAGGACATCATATACGTTTTGCGTACAAGGATATCTTAACCTAGTTTGGTTCATTTCCTAGATATTCTATCATAACAAAATCATCACTGGCTGTAAAAAAACGATCTTTGATGCCTTAGGTGTAACCACACATAATATAACTGTTCAAGATCCACCACCCTTGCCAGAATCTGTAACACCAAGATAATATACTTCATAGGTTGGAATCCAAGTGCAAAATATTACAAGGGTATAATTAGTTGAAGACTAAGACACAAGTTGCAGAGGTGTTCGTTTGCAAAACTTTGCAGATCGTCTATTCACAAATTAGATGAGATGAGACGTTCCAGCTACAAAAATATGTAGCTATAAACGAAACAGCAAGTCATCTTAAATGCGGATCAAGAATCAGTTTCTTGACCTATTGCCTAGACAAAACCAAGAATAGATTAGTATCTCTACATGAGTGCATCTGAGGAAAATGTTTTCATTATCAAGAAATACATGAAGTCATAAAACGCATTCACGTGTCTAGATAGCTCTTTATTACTCTACAGATGTATTTTACATTTCATAAAAATGAAGTGGTCTAGATGATGAAAAAAGGTGTTCACATGCAGAAAAATACTTGGAAAGCTTTACCAGAAACAAAACCCACAAATTATGAAATTTGATTCATTAAATTAACTTTTAAGCGATTCAGAAAATGTGCTTTAGCATGTCTACTAGTTTTCACTTGAAATCCACACCTCAAGTTTACCACGCGGCCTAATTTGCGTGGTGATAATCGGAAATCATTGCTAAACTGAAGCTTAAGTTGTCAGTGAATGCTGTGCACAAAGAACCATACTATTGATCAACTTCTTATAGGACGCATGTTCAATTCCATGCAGCTTCTCTGCTAAGTCAACGATAACTTATAATATTGTTATGTGTTTTATTTTCTTTTGCGATTTTGTGACTATAAGCCCAACACCACCAAAATATTTTTACATCATATTTTATAGGTAATTATAAGTTCATTGATGTTCTGATTTATTTTTCGATAT